TTCCAGGAGACCTTTCAGACATCCTTCTGGACAAAGCCATGGTGGCAGGGCCGAGGCAGAGGCGGTTAGGGGTGATCAGGCCAGGAGAGGAGGGCAGTTGGGGGCGAGCAGGCTGGGGGAGCAGTTGGGGGCAAATGGGCTGGCAGGGGGGTCAGTTGGGGGTGAGCAGGATGGTGGAGGGGGCTATGGGGGGCTATCAGGCTGGTGGGGAGGGCAGTAGGAACTGATCAGGCCAGCATGCAGAGTGGTTAGGGGGCAATCAGACAGGTAGGCAGGTGAGCGGTTAGGAGCCAACTGTCCCAAATTGTGAAAGCAATGTCCAACTACCGCAGTCTGACATCCCCCGAGGGGTCCCAGATTGGAGAGGGTGCAGGCCGGGCTAAGGGGCACCCTCCTTCCCGTGCACGAATTTCCTGCACTGGGCCACTGGTCTTATGTAATAAAGAGGTAATATGCAAATTAATCCTCACACCCTCACAAGATGGCTGCCTAGGTCCAGGCTGGCAGGGGTTAGTGAGGGATGACCAAATGACTGAACACCAGGCTGCGTGGGGTGACCAGGCTGGGGGGGGTGGGGCATGAGGGACAACCAGGCTGGCTGGGGGGTCAATTAGGAGCAACCAGGCCAGCAGAGAGGTGGCAGTTGGGGGCTACCTGGCCGGCAGCAGGGGGCAGTTAGGGGTGACTAAGCCGGCAGGGAAGGCAGTTAGGGTTGATCAGGCCAGCAGGTGGGGGGGCAGTTAGGGGCAACCAAGCAAGCAGGCAGGTGATCAATTAGGAACCAGCGGTCCCAGATTGAGAGAGGAATGTCCAACTGCCGGTTTAGGCCCGATCCCCAGGACCTAGGTGTCTAGGGGGAGAGGGTGCAGGCTTGGGTGAGGGGACCCACTCCTTGCATGAATTTCATGCACCGGGCCTCTAGTCCTATATAATAAACTAGAGGCCTGGTGCACAAAAATTTGTGCACTCGGGGGGGATGGGGGTCCCTTAGCCCGGCCTGTGCCCTCTTGCAGTCTGGGACCCCTCGGGAGATAACGACCTGCTGGCTTAGGCCTGCTCCCGGGTGGCAGAGGGCAGGCCCAATCCCTAGGTGCAGCCCCTGGTCGGGCTCAGAGCAGGGCCGATTGGGGAGTTGGAGCGCTGCCCCCTGAAATGCACAGAGCAGGGCGGATTAGGAGGTTGTGATGCCAACCTCAGTCTCGCTCAGGGTAGGGCCAATTGAGGGGTTGGGGCACCGCCCCCGTCACACTCAAGGCAGGGTCCATGGGGAGGTTGCGGCGCCACACCTTATCATACACAGAGCAGGGTCAATAAGAGGGTTGGGGCGCTGCCCCCTGTCACTCACAGAGTAGGGCCCATCACGGGGGTTGGGGCTCTGTACCCTGTCATGCACGGAGCAGGGTTGATCAGGGGGTTGGGAGGTCCCCCCTCTCATGCACAGAGCAGGGCCCATCAGGGGGTTGGGGAGCTCCCCTCTGTCACTCACAGAATAGGGCCGATAGGGGAGTTGTGGTACCGCCCCCTGTCACACACAGCAGGGAGGATCAGGGGTTGGGGTGCCACACCCTGTCACACTCAGGGCAAGGCCAATGGGGAGGTTATGGCTCTACCCCGTCACACACAGAGCAGG